ACGAAAGTATCTTGTGGACAAAAAAAATCTCTCACGAATGTTATTTTGAACTTCCCTCTCCTGTGGAAGATAATTTTCCCCTGAGTTAACATCGAGAATGATGTAACGCAGAGTTCCTTCCTGTTACCAAGGAAGCTAACATTCTGAAAGCCTGGTGGGGCTAGCTTAAGGGTAGGATAGATATAATATTCAAAAATGCCCTCAACTCAGAGTAGAAGTATTTCAACAAAAATGACCTAAAGGTTGGATGAGAAAATGAGCAAATGCCGAGCTGAGTGGTTTGTTAGAAATATGTGAGAGGCCATCATCTGTGGCATTGCCGTTCTTTTTTTATTTACTTTGCAATGCTCTTAGGGGGACATTTTTTGAGGGCCAAATGAACTTTTTTCCCCATATGTGTTTATAAGTCATTCCAGAAGAAGACAATCTAAGCTCAGGTGGTTGGGATTCATGTTTGTTTTACTCTATCTCCCAAAGTCTGTAGGTACATGGGGGAACCCCTCCCCTTTATTTGCTAACCCTAAATAATCAGTCTAAAAAAATTGTTATTGTTACTACAGCATACCCCTGCTTTCCTTAATCATAGTTGCCTTGAACTGAAAGCTTGTTAAGGTACCCTAGGCAGGTCTCTATTCTCCTGGAGAGACGAGGCAGCAGGTAGGCCATGTGGCTCACCCAGGGCCTGTCTCTGGGAAGGGGTAGATCTGTCCCTACCAGCTGTATGCTGTTGAGCCCATGCCCTTTCTCTTGCTTGTCAAGTTGCTGGGGTCTCACCTTTTTGTCCTCCACTGTCTTGATGTTTGGGGGTGTAATAGAAGCACAGTCACTTTTGCCAAAAGAATTTTATATTATTGTGAGGCCTTTTAAAAGTCCCTTTCTATTAAAAAAAAAAAAAAGATTTGAGCTCATTTCTGCACGTACTCATTTAATTTTCCTTCCAAATGTCTATAGCCTTTAAAACATTTTCTGTAACCTTTAACATTTAATTAGGTGCTCATCAGGTAGCACCGCTGCTGCCCAGGCAGACAACCTGTGTGAGACAGGACGTTAAGGATGGTGGCCCTGCAGGCTTCACCCTTTCCCCGAGTCTGTCTGTGGTTCACAGATGTCTCCTCTGCTGCTGTCCAGGAGGACTCACGTCGTCACTGGCCTGGCTTCCTTCCTAAGGCTTACGCTTATCTTGGGGATGATGTCTCATCCTCTTTGCCCTCGTCTGAGGAGTTATGTTATTACTTCATCATGGGAGTTAGAGGAGCCTCCCTGCTGGTACAATCTGCACTGTGTCCAGGCCCTTACTTGATGGCGTAGTGTTCACAGAACAGACTCGTTCACAGAACAGACTCGTTCAGACGCGGATTCTGCTTTCACAGTGTGACCGCAGCACACTCTGTGACTCAGTTTAACCTTTATCTTTGAAATGAAGCAAAGTCCTTGCTAGAGTTGTTGTGAAGACTAAATACTCTGTCAGAAGCACTTAGAAGAGCGCCTGTCACAAGCAAAGCACACTGCACCTTTAGCTGTGACTATTGTTGGTGTTACTACTTGGGAAAAAAATCTAGCACAATAAGACTGTTTGCCCTGAGATATCTACCAGTGGCTTTCAGGTTTATTTTTCTTATTTATTTATGTCTTATTTTGAGAAAGATCATAGTTGTTCAATGCATGTTGTGTGGGTGCGTGGTCTTTGGTACTCAGCCACCCGGCTGGTAGTTTTTTCATTTGGGAGTCAAACACTCTGTGACAGAGCCCTTGTGTGCAGGCGGGTCCGGAGGAAGCGCCCACATCTTCCCTTTGTTGCAGGGCATGGGACTGGGCAGAGGTGCAGCAGGTGGTCATCCTGACCACCTGCTGCCATCGTGTCATTTCTGGGCTCGCTTAGCTGTGTTCCCAGCTCTGCCTCGGCTCCCACAGGCTGCTCTGCCTATGGTGGCCTGATCATGAGACCTCCTCCAGCAGGGACAGCTTGCAGTCCAGATGAGGAAAGGAATTGAACACAAGTGGATAGCTAATCAACAGCTCTTACTCATCCAAAGAGAATATTTCATGTGATGCTTTAGTTGAAGCAGAATTTGTACTCGAAGTAGTCTCCTCATGAGAGAAAATCGAGGTGGGTCAGCTGCAAACTGGTAAGAAAGGAAGGGCGCAGAGTTGTCCATTGGCCCTTCTTCGAACAAGTACTTTTTGGGAATTAGGTGCTAAACATGGGGCAGATCAGTGAACAAAATAGGCAGGAGTCCCTACCCTTGAGGAGTGTGCAGTCTGGAGACCGAGACTCTTCTGAGACCCTTGCCAGGCTTCCCGTTTTGTTCACATTAGAGGCAGTCCTTGCAATGGCCTTAGGGCCCTGCGGGCTCTGTGGCCTCCCTTCACCCTTCTGACCTCCTTACACATGGAGGTCGTGTTCTCCATGCTGTCTCCATGCTGATCATGCCAAGCACTCTTCTCTTTTCTGGCCTTGCACTTACTGCTTCCTGTGCTTGGCATGTTTTAAATAAACTTCCTCATTTCTTTCATGTCTAAATGTCACCTTTCCCATGAAGCTCACCCTGCCAATCTATTTAAATCATAAGCCACCACCTTCTCAACAGTCCTCAGCCACTTTTCCATGTTCTATTTTCCTCCACAGTACTTACCAGTGAACACTTGGGAGTAAGTTAATGAGGGCAGGGATCTCATTTTGTTCACTGAAGCCTACTGAGTGCTGACTTGGGCCAGTAATTGGCACTTAGTAGATGTTCAATAAATATGTTGAGTGAATGAAAATGAATAAATACTGTGCTAAAAAATTAAGTAAAGTGTATTAATTTCCTGTAAGTGTTGTAGCAAAATAACAAAACTTTGATGGCTTAAAACAACAGAAATTTATTCTCACAGTTCTGGTGCCCATAGGCTGCAACCCAAGGTGTTAGAAAGGCTGCATACCTTTCAAAGGGTACCTTTCATGGGGAAAATGTGTTCCTTGCCGTCTGTGGGGTCGGTGGATGGGGTGCTGTGATCACTCAAGCCTGGAGCGAGTACCTGTCCTGTAGCCGAGGGTCAGCCGCTCTTCGCAGCTCCCCCAGGATCTTCAAGTTTGAAGGATTATCACAGGAAGAAGACCAAGGGCTTGGGGTAAATAGAAACACACATTTCTACTTCTGAGTTTCATCCTTGAGTTTAGACATGAGGACCTCTGGGAAGCCTTTCCTGACTCTACTTCCTGCTCTGTGCCCTCGCACTTACTGTCACCATGGTCGTGTCTTAATTGCCCTGTCCTTTTCTTGAGGTGTACTCATTCAGGGCAGAGCTGTGTCTTTTGTTTGACTGTTGCACTTCAGGAAATTTAAGGTCTGGCAGCCTATTACATGCTCAACACATATATATGAATGAGCAAATGTACAGCACCTAGTACAACTTTGAACCTCACTTCCTGTGAACAGGCCCCTGCTAGGGAATCCCGTGGCTGTGGCATGCTTGCACCTGCCTTTCAAGCCCATTAACCTCTGGCTTTTTCCTTCTTTTTTGGTTTATACCTTCTTTTTTTGGTTAATATGCATGATTTGACTCCTTGGGATTTTCTTTTATTTAATAGTGAAAATTCAAGGAAAGATGAAATTGCTACAATGGAAAATCAGATTTCTGCTCTAAATGCTTTTGAGTTGAGCCCTGCCAGGCTGTTCCCACTCCACTACCCTCTTAGCTATCACGTATGCAGTTTCTGACCTTGTAATACCACCAGCAGAATATTTCATGCAAACTTACTTCTGAATACTTTTTAACATCAGGAGGATTTGGATTTCATTGGACATAAAATCTGAAATAGTAATAATGGTAATAGCAGTCACCACTTATGGAGGGTTTCTTTCCTGTGCCAGGCATGCAGAAGTAGGCATTCTCTCCCTGCAGTGTGGTGAGCTCACTGGTCCACTCCAGTTCTGTCAACCAGCGACTGTGAGTCTGCAGCTACTGCAGAGCCACACTCCATGGCGGCCGTGTTCTTTTGCCTTCTGTAATTAGGAGAGGGACAACTGGGGTTTAATAATAGAAAAGGACATCAAGTTGATTACAGATAAGAAGTGGTGTTTCTGCTTTAGCTTTTGAGAAGATAGAGGAGCATAAGGCAGAATCTGCACAGATCTTAGCACAGCGCTCCATGGCCCCAGGAGGAGGTGGGGACACCGTGTGTGAGTGGGGCTGAAGCTGCGCACTGTAGATTAAACTGGCACCACGTGACCCAGAAGACTGGAGAGAACCATTGGGAAATACAGGTTTCCCAGTGCTCTTTCTGTCTCCCGAATGCACTGAGGTCAGAACCCTGAACTCAGGTCATGCGTGGTAGGAGTCACCTAACCTGAAAGGCCTTGAGTATGTGGATAAACATTTAGGCTTAAAATCAGTTTTACAAAGAAAACCTCATGAAGCAAAGCATAATGACTATATTAACAGCTCACTGAAATTTTATGGGCGAGAAGTGCCAAAAATTTGCAACTGGTGGGCAGTGGAATCTTATTCGATGCTACCATGATTTCTAAAGATGTGTCAAGGTGATTGATTTTATTTGATTTATTGATTTTATTTTTGCTGCTTTAAATCAGTCTGTACAGAGCTTTCATATAGGTTCAATCTAGATCAGTCTGCTTCCCGACACTGAACTTATTCGATAGTCTTGTATCATGTAGCTCTACATTCCCTCGCTATGGATGTTTTTAGGAACATAACCCCTACTGTTGGAGATTTCTCTATCACTGAATTTGATAGGATAATCTGTGCTCTTTGTGATCCATTTCCTCCACTAGGTTACTGTAAGTAACTTACAGGCAAGGATACTGTTTTCTGCTTTTATAATCTTGACTCATTGCAGTACTAAGTAAATAATCTACTGGTTTATATTTTGACTAGCCCTGCTACTTGAATAGTGCATCTGTGTTCCCAAATGGGGTTACCTTATTTCTATCCATAGAAAATAGTTATAGGGTAAATGGATGGCATTGAAATTGAAGTGTGTGTTTATCCCCCTCCAGGTTGCATCACAGCGTATTAGCTCAGTGGACCTCTCGTGTTGTAGCCTGGAGCATCTGCCTGCCAACCTCTTCTACAGCCAAGACCTCACTCATCTTAATTTAAAACAAAACTTCCTAAGGCAAAACCCCAGCCTACCAACTGCCAGGGGACTCAGTGAACTGCAAAGGTGAGCATGCAGAATTGGGTGCCTCTTCAGAATGTTATTTGAATGTTCTGAGTTAAAAAGCTGTAGTATATAAAGTGACTTTCAGGGTATTATTAGTGAGGACATTATCAGCTCTCCCTCTGGAAGTTTTTTAAGATCTCATAAGTGAATGATTTATGTCATTAGTGATTAGTCATTAACTGGATATATTTGTGTAAGAACATTTCTTTTTAAATCACTTCTCTTAACCTATTTTTTACACTTGCATCTGTGAAAAAGTAGTTATTTTGGTGTTACTTCTAAAGTAGAGGGGTTTGATTAGATTAAATTATTTTACTATGAGGGATAACACACCACAATCAAGTGGGATTCATCCCAGGGGCACAAGGGTGGTTCAACATATAAAAATCGATCAGTGTAATCCAACACATCAACAAAAAGAAAAATAAAAACCATATGATCATATCAATAGATGCTGAGAAAGTATTAGACAAAGTCCAACATCCATTTATGATGAAGGCCCTTGAAATTCTCAGGATAGAAGGAACATACCTTAACATGATAAAAGCCATATACGACAAACCCACTGCCAATATTATTTTCAATGGCAAAAAGCTGAAGGCCTTTCCTTTAAGATCAGGAACAAGACAAGGATGTCCTCTCTCACCACTGCTCTTCAATATAATACTGGAGGTCCTAGCCAGGGCAATAAGACAAGAGAAAGACACACAAGGAATCCAAATAGGGAAAGAAGATGTAAAACTATCAGTATTTGCAGACAATATAATATACATAGAGAACCCTCAAAACTCCACAGAAAAACTACTTGAAATAATGAACCAGTTCAGTAAAGTAGAAGGATACAAAATCAACACACAAAAATCAGTAGCCTTCCTATACACAATCAATCTGAAAAAGACGAAATCAAGAAAACCATCCCTTTTATAACTGAAACAAAAAAATCATATACTTGGGAAAAAACCTAACAAAAGAGGTGAAAGACCTATACAAAGAAAATTATAAAACACTGTTAAAAGAAACAGAAGAAGACACAAAGAAATGGAAAGACATCCCCTGCTCATGGATTGGAAGAATTAACATTATTAAAATGTCCATCCTACCAAAAGCTACATACAGATTCCACGCTATTCCAATAAAAATCTCAATGACATTCGTCAAAGAAATAGAACAAACACTGATGAAATTCATATGGAACCACAAAAAAACCACGAATAGCCAAAGTCCTACTGATGAAAACAAAGGAGAAAGGAGGTATCACATTTCCAAACTTCAAGCTATACTGCAAAGCCATAATAATTAAAACAGTTTGGTATTGGAACAAAAACAGACAAACAGACCAATGGAACCGAATAGAGAGCCCAGAAATAAAACCACACTTATATGGAAAACTAATCTTTGACAAAGGAGCAAAGAACATGCAATGGAACACAGGCAGTTTATTCAATAAATGGTACTGGGAAAACGACCATGACATGCAAAAAAATGAAACTAGACTACTACCTCTCACCATGCACAAAAATCAACTGAAGCCATAAAATATATAGAAGAAAATATAGATAAAACACTACAAGACATACATCACAATAACATCTTTAAAGACTCATCACCCAAAGCAAAGATAGTCAAGGAAAAGATAAACACCTGAGATTACATCAAACTGAAAAGGTGCTACACAGCAAAAGAGACAGTAACCAAAACAGAGACACCCCACTGATTGGGAAAAAATCTTTGCACTCCATTCAGTGGATAAGGGACTGATCACAAAGATATACAAAGAACTCACACAACTCAACAAAAATAAAATAAACAATCCAGTCAAGAAATGGGATAAGAACTTAAAAGACATTTCTCCAAAGAGGAAATGCAAATGGCAACAGGCATATGGAAAGAATGTTCAGCATCCCTTATAATCAGGGAAATGCAAATCAAAACCACATTCTTACACCAGTAGGAATAGCACATATCAAAAAAAACAAGCAACAAAATGTTGGCGAGGATGTTGTAAAGAAGGAACTCTCCTACATTGCTGGTGGGAGTGCAAACTGGTCCAACCACTATGGAAAGCTCTCTGGAGGTTCCTCAGTCTACTAAAAATGGAGCTACCATATGACCTGGCAATTCCACTCCGAGGGATCTACCCAAAGGACACAAAAACATTGATTCAGAAGACCACCGGTACCCCTATGCTTATCGCAGCACAATAGGTAAAACCTGGAAACAACCCAAATGCCCAAAAATAGATGACTGGATCAAGAAGATGTGGCATATATACACAATGGAATATTATTCAGCAATCAAAAAGATAAACTCATGCCATTCACAGCAACGTGGATGGAGCTAGAAGGAATGATGCTCAGTGAAATAAGCCAGAAGGAAAAAGAAAAATATCGGATGGTTTCACTTATAGCAGGAATATAGGGGAACCCAATAAGACATCAGTGTAAAAAAATAATAACAGTACAAAACACAACAAAGCAAAAACAAACAATTATAAATCAGAGCCATCCTGCAGGGGAGGAGGAGGGAGAGGGATCAGAGGGAGGGAGGGAGGAGCACAGGGGACTGAGGTGATGGTGCAGGGGTGAATTGGTGAAGGAAATTTTATAAGGACTCCACCTGAGGTGGGGGGATTGAGCAAAAATTGTTTAAAAATGAACAATAATGTAAAAAATAAAAGGATGAAAAAAAATTATTTCCTTTGAAATTTATAAAAGCTCAGTTTATTCCATGAAAAAACATTCCCTCATAAATTTAAGGACTTACGTTTAAATTTACCGACATCATGCCATCTGGGTGATGGCTGCACAGGGTTTCAGGAGTCACATGCTAAATGAAAAGGAGCTGCTCCTTCAAGAATTTACCATCTTCATGTTCTTTACCTTTTTGGGGGAGCAGTGATCAACCTTGATTCTGTGAATTAAACCTCTGATATTTGTACAGTTTTTACAAACATGAGATGCTAACTTCAGAAGACTATAACTTTTATTTTTTTTTAATTAATTTATTTATTTATGCAAGCACTGGGTACAGTCAGAAGCGCGGGAGGGTGAGAGAATTCACCAGAGCTAGAGTGGAGGGTAGAACAGGCAGAAGGATGGAAGTACACTGCTGAGGGGAGCAGCGGGTGGCAGGAGAGGTCTGTGCGCCATGTGGGACCTGTGGGACCCTCCTCCGGTGGCCGGGGAGCAGCCGGGGAGCAGCCGGGGAGCAGCCGGGGATTGAACCGGCGCTGCAGAAGCTGTGGGCAGCTTCGCAACCCAGCGCTCAACTGCTGCGCCACCTGGGAGGCCCAGAAGACTATAACTTTTAATTAAATAATGAATTGTTCATTTGTTTTTTTTTTTTTTTTTTTTTTTTTAATAGAGGCATGCTTTATTTATTTATTTATTTGTTTGTTTGTTTTGTTTATACATGCACTGGGTACAGTCAGAAGCGCGGGAGGGTGAGAGAATTCACCAGAGCCAGAGCGGGGAGCAGAGCAGGCAGAAGGACTGAAGTACACTGCTGAGGGGAGCAGCGGGCGGCAGGAGAGGTCTGCGCGCCATGTGGGACCCTCCTCCAGTGGCCGGGGAGCAGCCGGGGATCGAACCGGCGCCACAGAGGCTGCGGGCAGCTTCGCAACCCAGTGCTCAACCGCTGCGCCACCGGGGAGGCCCTTGTTCATTTGTTTTTAAATGATGATCAGGGATTAAATTTTTATAATTAACTGTAGTAATTATGTATTCATACTTTTTAACATCCAGAAAGTATAATCCAATAAGTGTTTATTATGAAATTTGTGCAGATATGTGATTAGAAAAGAGTATTTTAATTGCATTTTCAGATAATTGTGGATATTCTTCTTTGCTATTTTACAAAAACTTGACAAGTAGCCATTTTTTGAATATTGGTTCCAATGTGGAATCTAAAGCCCTATCTGAACTTTTCAATTATTTTATGTTAGGTCTGTTTTGCACTTTGAATGGATCTTTGCTCATGTGTTACTTTACTGCATGAAATATTGGTCATTTTGAAAATTCTAGTTTACTGTGTAATTTAGAAATCCCTAATGTTTAATGCTCTTCATTATGCAATTTCAAGAAATCACAATTGTTACTATCACCACTGGTTTCATCAGAAAAATCTTTTAAATATTGGGAATTTGTCAGACTCATTATGGATGCAAGTTTTCCAAAATTTTAATATTCAATTGAAAGTTCAAAATCCTTGTTGGTAACACACTGTCAGTTGTTTTCCCTGAATGGGTGCCAAATATCTAAGTCTGAAAAGTTTCTGTTATCCTTTCAAGTAAAAATGGTACTCCATGCAAATAGTAGTTTGCTCACAACTCAAATTAATTCTATTTTCTTCAGATATACCCAAGTATACCTTAATATTGCTGCTGTATTTAGGTATACTTCTTCCCACGTCATCTCTCAGAAGGTAAAAAAGATACGTACTCAAGGGTTGAGCAGCAATAAAAATCACTTCCCTGCATAATCAAGGCCATTTTAAAGACAAAACTGGTATTGTACATTGCTTTAAAAGAATGTTTGCTGTGATTCCCTGGCAGAGAATAACAAAAAAGAAAAGCCGGACAGTTTGGCGCTGCGTTGAGTTAGTTACACAGGCAGCGAGAATCGTGTTTCTTGGAGCTCTTGGTGCTGTGACTGGAAGCCTCAGGAGACTCTCAAATGTAGGCCTTTCTGTGACCTATGTATTGACATTAATATTTGGACTGACACTGCTGTAATAGTTACTATGATTTTATGCTGAAAGATTGCATCAGTTTTTAAGGTTTGAGATGATTTTGAAGTATTTTTGCATATTTCATGGAAATGTAGACTTCTGTACTTTTATTACAGAACATCAAGAACTTTCCCCTACTCTAACCCTAGTGTTTTAGAACAGAAAGGGGAATTGGAATCCATGCCAACCAGTGCTCTCATCTTAGAGATGAAGTAGATAAAGATGTTAAATGTCAAATTCAGGTCAATGGTTACTCCCTGGGGGGTTTTCCA